CCCCGTTGGTCGGCCCGGGCGAAACGCTACGGGAGAAGGGCCGGGGCAGAGCGTGGGTGCTGGTGCCCGGTCCCCAGCCCCGTCGGCACCCGCCTCCGGCGCCCCACCTTGTCGGCGAAGATCATGAGGCCGTAGTCGGTCTTGCCACGCAGGGCCCGGCCCACGCACTGGGCGGCGTGGCGCATGGCGTCGAAGGTGAGGAAATCGTTCTCCCGGATCTGGAACTGGTCGCGGAGGTACTCGAGCCGGGCCTGGAGGGGCGAGACGGGGGTGCCAGGGAGGGCAGAGCCTGCTGGGTGCCCTGCTGTGCCCTGTGGGTGCCTACGGGGTGTCCCACTGTGTCCCTGGGATGCTCAGCTGTGCCCCATGGCTGCCTGGCTGTGCCCATGTCCCTTGGGTGCCTGGCTGTGCCCCTGGGGGCCCCACTGTGTCCCCAGGGTGCCCAGCTGTGCCCCGCGGGTGCCTGCCTGTGTCCCACTGTGTCCCTTGGTTGCCTGGCCGTGTCTGTGGGTACCTGACTGTGCCCCTGGGGTGCCCAACTGTACCCCATGGGTACCCAGCTCTGTCCCTTGGGTGCCCCACCGTATTCCGTTGTGACCCAAGGTACTTAACTGTGACCCATGGGTGCCCCACTGTATCCCCAGGGTGCCCCACTGTACCCCTAGGATGCCTGGCCATGCCCCTGGGGTGCCCAGCCATGTCCTTTGGGTGCCCGGCTGTGCCCTGCTGTGTCCCCAGGGTGCCCCACTATGTCCCTGGGGTGCCCAGCTGTGTCCTTTGGGTGCCCAGCTGTGCCCTGCCATGTCCCCAGGGTGCCCCACTATGTTCCTGGGGTGCCCAGCTGGGTCCCTTGGGTGCCTGGCTGTGCCCTTGGGGCCCCCAGCTCTGCCCATGGGGTGCCCCACTGTCCCCTCCGGGTGCCCTGCCCTCGCTCACCTTGAGGATGCGGCTCTGGGTGTAGACATAGGGCACCCCGAACATGATGACGGCCCGGCCGTAGTGGTGCACTGCGGGCAGCGAAGCAGGTGCTCAGGGTGGCTCTGCACCCTGGCGGCCCCGGCCCCCTGCTGCCACGCGTCCCCAGACCAGACACTGGCACTCACCGAAGTCGATACCCTCTGACACCTTGCCCCGGGCCACGGAGAGCAGGATGGCACCCCGGCCGTTCTCGCAGGCCTGCGAAGCACCCCGGCATCAGGCAGGGCACCGACGGGTGGGGGCACCCATCCGCCCCGGAACCGGCAGCACCCACCTCCTGGTACTTCTCCAGAGCCATGCTGGTCTCGGCCCCGTCCTGCGTCTCGATGAAGATGAGCTTGTTCCTCTGGATGTTCTCCAAGATGCCCTGATGCCGTCGGGGCCCACTGCCGACATCCCCAGCAGCAAGTTGCCGTAGTTGCGGATGACGGCTGCGGCCACGGGATGTCCCGTCAGCTCTGCGCGCCCCCGCTGCCCTGGCCATCACCCCTCCCAGCCCCCCTGTCCCTGTCCCCACAGCTCTACATCCCCCTGTCCCTGTCCTCTCTAGCCCTATATCCCCCCGTCCCTGCCCCCTACCGATGTCCTCGCGTGTCTCAAACTTGGAGCTGATGGCCACCTGGTCGTTCCCACGGCCCACAATCTGCAAGGGACAGGGACGCCAGTGACAAGGGGGTCCCCCATTGTCCCCAACTCCGAGTCGGCTCCCCCTTCCCTGCTCACCATGGGGCAGAGGCAGGTCCGGGCCAGCGTCATGGTGAAGGTCGCCATGGTGACGGGACGGAAATCCAGGATTTTAGGGTAAATATCCAGTGGCGAGAGAGTCTAGGGAGGGAAGAGAGAGGGTACATGGGGCTGGGGACACCCTTGCTGGGCCCTGTGGCCCTGGTGGGGACACGGAGGGGACAACGGGGAAAAGGGAAGACATGGCGGACATGGCGGGGGGATGCAGGGTGCCAAAGGGGACACGGGAACAAGGGTGACACAAAGTGCTGGGGGACATAGGGGACACAGGGGAGCCAGGGCACATGGGGGACATCGGGGGGCCAGGGGACACAGCGGGGAGCCGGGGACTCACCCCTGAGGTGATGATGACGGACTGGAACCGCTCAAAGACAGGCTTGATGGCGATGGAGGCGTCCATGCAGCTGGGGCAGGGGGACAGGGACGGGTGACAGGGCCACCTCAGGCACCGCCACTGTCCCCCAGCATCCCTCTTGCCCCCTAAACTCCTGTGCCCCCCCCAGACTCCTCTCCAGTCTGTGTCCCCTATCCACCCTGTGTCCCCAGCTTCGACCCAGACCCTCCATGTCCTCCTGCGCCCCTCCGATACCCCTGCGCCCCCCCCCCAAACCCCT